CAATTATAAATCAAATCAAACCAGCGGCCACCAAGTCAATTCCAACTCCTGGTAACGTCATCTGTGCAGAATAGAACTGCTTCATAGGGTTTTCAAGGCTGGGACCTTTTGGAAGCAGATTGCCAGGCCTTTCTTCTGAGGTACCTCAGTCAGTAGTCAAGTACTTAACTGTTTGCGTCACCCAGGACCAAGTAATTTTTTCGCCCCTCTTACAGAACAACTAGAGGACTAATGAGCTAATAAGCACAAAAGACTCACGAGGGGAACAAGTCTGCAAACACTGGGCGTGACATCTGGGCCATGGTGCAACCATCAGATGAGCCCAGCCACACCTCCTGCGTCCTGAAGCTGTTGCTGTTGACTTTGTCCAGTCCTGGGCCATCCAACCCTTGACTGAGCACGGGCTTAGGGTGCCCACAAAGCAGGGCAGCAACATTTTAAAAACTTGATGTTTAGTATATATAAAAAGCATCAAAGTAATGATCATGGGGAAAATAAGAGCTTTGTTGCATGCTTATATTTATTCTATGATTTAGTATTGTTTTTATTTGGAATTACACAAATAGAGGTAAAATGTTACCGTATTCATTTCAATACTTACAGCTTTTAAAGGTGACAATCTAGCCCCAAGTCTACCATCTGCTTTTTTTTTTTTAAAGTTTACCAAGAAATTCCAACAATTTACTTTCAAAATTGTCTTTCTTTCCAAATTGGCAGTCTTCATGAAGGACGAAATTCTCTTATCAATACAGATTTATTGGAACTCTTTGGATAGTACTACAAGTCCAAGAAAAAATTAAATCTTGCTTGACTAGGGAGTAGCCCATGCTTTGGGTCATGGGCTGGCCTGAAAAGGTCTAGATCAAATTTGCAGTATCATTACCATCTTAATGACCTGCAGATAAGTTTGGGATCCTAGGGTTAGAGGAGGAACATTCTTCTTCAATTTTTTCCAAACAAGAGGTGGATTGGCTGAGGGTTCTCGGTGAGCCACGCGCCCCCTGCAACTTGTCATTTCCAAATACACGACTTTTGTGCTCTTGCACCATCACTGAGATACGTGTGTCGGTAAAGACAAAAGCTATGTATTTCCACTCGATTCCACACTTTGGATTCCCTCCAGACACCAGTCTGAATATGACACTGCTGTAGGGTACTAAAAATGGTATTTCCCTCAAAATAAAACCTTTAAAGATCCCTTAGTAGCTATTCAGGGACTGGAATTCAATTTCAATTCTCCACCCTTTGGCCAGCTGTAGATTAAAATGCTCACATAAAACATTCCGAGTACGTACTCCGTGGCACATTTTTCTTCTACAATAGAAACGTGCTATAGTTACCCAAAACTATCTTTTCACTTAGAAAACACACAAAGCAGTAATGCACCTCAACAAGACAGACAGATGCTTATTTCATAACTCTTTGAGATAAGCTTCACAAAGACCCACTTACTACACAGTTTGTGAAATATACATCTTGAAATCATAACACTCCCTATTTTAGGCTATTATATCTAAAAGCATGACTTCTCAAATTCTTTATTATTACAAGTAGTTCTTGCACATAAATGTTATATCACAATAGCAAAACAAAAAAAAATGTAAACTTGTTTTGCAAACTACATGTTGTTATTGTTGTTGTCAGGTGCTGTCCAGTCGTTTCTGACTCATAGCGACCCTACATACAACAAAATGTAACACTGCCCGGTCCTGCACCACCCTCGCAATCATTTCTATGTTGGAGCCCATTGTTGCAGCCACTGTGTCAATCCTGCTGGTTGAGGGTCTTCTTCTCTTTTGCTGACCCAATACTTTACCAAGCATGATGTCCTTTTCCAGGGACTGGTCCCTCCTGAGAACACGTCCAAAGTAAAGTGAGATGAAATCTCACCATCCTTGCTTCTAAGAAGCATTCTGGCTGTGCTTCTTGTGAGACAGATTTATTTGTTCATTTTTTTGGCAGTCCATGATATATTCAATATTCTTCACCAACACCATAATTCAAATGTATCAGTTCTTCAGTCTTCTTTATTCATTGTCAGGCTTTCACATGCATATGAGGCGATCGAAAATACCATCGCTTGGGTCAGGTGCACCTTAGTCCTCAAAGTGACATCTTTGCTTTTTAACATTTCAGAGAGGTCTTTTGCAGCAGATTTGCCCAAAGCAATATGTCTTTGGATTTTGTGACTGCTGCTTCCATGGGCGTTGATTATGGATCCAAATAAAATAAAATCCTTGATAACTTCAGTATTTTCTCATTATGATGTTGCTTATAGGTCCAGTTGTGAGGATTTTTGCTTTCTTTATGTTGAGGTGTAATCCCTACTGAAGGCTGTGGTCTTTGATCTTCATCAGTAAGTGCTTCAAGTCCTCTTCACTTTCAGCAAGCAAGGTTGTGTCATCTGCATATCGCAGGTTGTTAATGAGTTCCCTCAATCCTGATGCCATGTTCTTCTTCATATAATCCAGCTTCTCAATTATTTGCTCAGCATACAGATTGAATAAGTATGGAGAAAGGATAAAACCCTGACACATGGCTTTCCTCATTTTAAACCATGCAGTATCCCCTGATTTTATCTGAACAACTGCCTCTTGTTCTATGTTACTTATGAGCACAATGAAGTGTTCTGGAATTCCCATTCTTCGCAATGTTATCCATGATTTGTTATGATCCACACAGTTGAATGCCTTTGCACAGTCAATAAAACACAGGTAAACATCTTTCTGGTATTCTCTGCTTTCAGCCAAGACCCATCTGACTTCAGCAATGATATCCCTCATTCCATGTCCTCTTCTAAATCCAGCTTGAATTTCTGGCAGTTCCTTGTTGATGTACTGCTGCAACTGTTTTTGAATTATCTTCAGCAAAATTTTACTTAAGTGTGATATTAATGATATTTACAGTAATTTCTATTCTTTGGAATAGGCACGTATATGAATCTCTTCCAGTTGGTTAGCCAGGTGGCTGTCTTCCAAAAGTCTTGGCATAGATGAGTAAGTGCTGCCAGTGTTGCATGCGTTCGTTGAAACATCTCAATTAGTATTCCATCAATTCCTGGAGGCTTGTTTTTCGCCAATGCCTTCAGTGCAGCTTGGACCTCTTCCTTCAGTATTATCAGTTCTTGATCATATGCTACCTCATGAAATGGTTGAACATCGACCAGTGCTTTTTGGTACCCTGTGTATTCCTTCCATCTTCTTTTGATGCTTCTTGTGTCGTTCAGTATTTTCCCCGTAGAATCCTTCAATATTGCAACTTGAGGCTTGAATTTTTTCTTCAGTTCTTTCAGCTTGAGAAATGCTGAGCATGTTCTTCCCTTTTGGTTTTCTAACTCCAGGTCTTTGCACATT